ACTTATTGATGCATTTGATTTTATGTCATAATGACGGCTTCCATCACAGATTTCTCTGTCGTCATGTGCATTTTTAATGATCACTCCCTCACCCAAGAAATTAACTGTCTCCTCTGTTGTTTATTGCTGTCATGTTAACGCCTCCATCATCACATCAGCAACTTCCATTATTGGTTACATTAGTTCTCCTGACAGTCTAACCAATGATTGTAATGATATTCTGTCCACAGCACTTTCTTCCGAAAACCAAATGATTTTCTTCAGTTAAATCTTTGTCACATTCTCTAATAAACCCTGTGCATAGTGCATACAGTGAAGGCATATTAAACAAATCAACAAAGTATACCAACAACAAAATAATTTATTACGGAAAAGCTCCAAAACTTATAAAGACAGTGTTTTTTGCAGCAAAGAAAGTTCATTTCACACTTAATATCAATAAATCCAACCCCAATAAATGCCCTCTGGGTCATTGCTCCATTTTTTTTTCTATTCTGCTTTTTTTTCACCATTTAGGTCGACACTGTCAGAGATAGAATTATAAATATTATGGTAAAAGATCCCTGAAGCCTCTTTCGTTCTGTATAAAATGTATTGCTGGCAGTTTGAGCTGAATTTTTAGCCATGAGCTGAAAAGTCCATTTTTTTTTGTTTTTTTTTTACCTTGGAAGACATAACGCATTTCTAGTTTGAATCCCAGTGATAAAACGTCTAATACAAAGGAGTGTTTTTACACTATGGACTGCTGTCTGTTTCCTAGCAACTTGCCGGTTTCCACAGCATTGTTTTCAGGGGGGAGATGGTCATAATTTTATGTGTTGCCTCTGAGATGTCAGGTGGCCAAGCTATTTTCAGCAGGAGACTCCCTCAACCCCAACACAAATTAATAGTAATTTTCTTTGCATCAAGGGGATCATCATCAATTTGCGTTACAATGCAATATGTCAATCAAAAGTTATTCTCTTGAAAGAGAAATGTCCATCTTGTATTCCACAGACACTCCTTACCTTTTAAAGAAAATTACAGTTTCAAAGAATATCTGTTTGCTTGGTGTTGTTCTGGTGTTGACTTCCACTATTACTTGATAGAATTAAAAATACTTTCTGATCAAAATTGGGCTTTAAAGTAGTCTATTTAAAATGATACTGATGCTTAAAGCTGCTCTAATCCATATTTTTTACCTTTGTTTTCTGCCGCAGCATGCAGGCTTTTTGTTGAAAATAGTGAAGCATTTAGCAGCTAAAGAGCCATCGATTCCCCTGAGGAGTTGGTGGAGACCAAAAAACAGCTAAAAGGAGAACGAATATTGGATGTAAATCCATCAGGACGCCCGAAACCACACTCCAAATAATGGGATGGTTGTTAACAAGTTGCTCAATTGTCTCATTTCTTGTGTTACTACTTCTAAGGGAGAGATGTAGCTTCATAGCCAGATCTAAAAAAAATACCGTGGGGAGTCAAGTACTTTAATTATAACCAGCAGTAGTAGAGTTTCCTTTCTGTTTGTATAATGAGTGGTTAAGGTTATATCAACCAAGGTAAAGTTATTTCTACATATGTTGTCTTTTGTACCTGCATCTGGAAGTCTTGAACACTTCTCAAATGTATTTTCTCTGCAAGTGAAGGAAAAAAAGATTTTGTACAGCAGCGAACATTCATCAACAACACTAATATGAGAAGCCAGAGAATTTGAAAATAGCTCTGTTGAAGGAACATCAGCATCCTCAAAGGACATTGGAATGAAAGTGCTCTGTTGCTTTTTAGACGGAGAGAAAGTAAAAGCATACAGAACACGAGTGCTTGCTGATAGAGAGGCTTTCACAAAGAACACAATGTGTGTGTTTGTGTGTGTGTTCAGGGTTTTATGCATGTGTTTGTGTTTGAATGCAGAGATGAAAGTTATACATAATGCATCATGCTACATGGGGCAGCACTCACCGGGTATCATGAGTCAAGGTGAAACTACCTGCACTCGCACACTGCCCCATGCTCTTATCAGAGTACGGTAATGATTTCAAGGTGAAGTGGGTCAGTGGTGTACATGATAATATATTTAGGCAGACCACTGTTGTGAACCATCTGTAGGTCCCACTCGGAGCCCTGCAATTCAGGTAAGCAGCTGGAGAGCTACAGATGGCTGAGGTACTGGAGGAAAGGAGTGGGGTCATGGGGGATGAAGATTGACTTGCTTCTTCTATTATCTGTTGATCTTGAGCGAAGTACGAGCTGATTGTCGGTGCACCTTCAGAGCTCCCCTGGGTGTACTCCGTCTAATCTAAACTATACATGAAACAGCACAGACCTGGATTTTCCCCCCTTTTAATTCAACACAAATTCTCAACCACACTGAGGTATTGCTGTGGACCTCGATGCCGTGTAGCCTGGTATAAGTCTGATTGCACTGTTCATGGGGTTCAAGTCGGTGTGAAGAGCTGTGTAAGAAACAGTGTGATAGGAGCAGCTCAGCAGGGTTAGCGTTAATGCTCCAGATGGCTCTCTAACATAGCCAGACAGTGCATTTCGTCTTCACTCCAGCTTTGTGCACTTTCTCTCTTGCCTTGCTCTGTTGAAATGATACAAGTCTGATTAGGAGTATACTGAAATATTTGTATCTTATTGCTTCATTGTGCGTGGCTAAGCTAATTAATACTTGTGATCTAAAGGGAAGCTTTTTTTTCCTCTTCCCTTTCTTCCTGTGTTTTCACACAAAAACAATTGGAGGACTGAAGACAGACCCAGACACTTGCACGCGTATCATTGGCACTTTCCACTTTTGACGTCATCAGCATTTCCCATGCCTGCCAATACCCATTCATGCACATAAAGGGGGGATGACTCAGCTTAAGAATTCATATATTATTCCTGCCGTCTCTGCCCGTCAGATCAATAGCAGTATCAGTTCTGTCAAAAACCGGAGAGCTCAGACTCAAAGGTGATGTCACCAGCATAAAGCACAGAGCTGCTCCACAGTCAAAGCAAAGCAATTGGATTTTATAAGCAATAAGTGAGTTGTTTTCTTCAAAGTTTTTTTTGGTTTTGATGTGTATTCGTCATCAATGTGCTTTGGCAATACTGATCGAGCTGTCTTCGGTCATAGCAACAAAATGTCATTTGGGGAACGCTGCAGAATTTTGCTTACTTGCTTACTACCAATGTCAGTTAGCAGTCAGTGTCCAGTTCAGATTGGTTGATTGAATGGATTACTACTGTATAACATGAAACTTTTTACTATTTATGTAAAATAGGCTTGCATATACATATGGTATTTTGTTATATCAACAAAAACAAGGGGTGACCAGAAATTAGGTAAATAAATACGTAGTTGCTGCTTGGTAAATCAGGTTAGCGTAGCCTTTCATACTTTTTGCTAGTCGCCTCTTCCATCTATTTTATAGCAAACACATCACAAGTAAACATGTTATCTTGACTGGTTTATTCATGACTGTGGCTGCACTTAGTTGGGGGATATCAAAGGCACATACAAAGATGGACGAATAGATTTTAAGATCAATCAGAATGTAGAAGTTGTTACTAAATAAAAGCGGGGCTATCTTCCACATATTTTGAAGTTAGTATGAACCAAACATTCAACATATATAACAATGTTGGGGGGGGGGTTATATCTTATTAATTATTTGATTTGTACATGTGGGTATAGTGCCTTTATGTCATGAATTTCATTTGAAAATCTTTTGAAATTTGCTCTTCACATTATAATCCGTTGAGCTTGAGAGGATCCCAAACAAAGTTGCAACCCCTTTGCCTCATCAGAGAATCAGGGTTACATGCATAACCCATAACCTATGGTTCACTGTCTTCACAATTTGTTGGTGTCTTGTTGCGTATCTTTGCTTTTACCTTTTGCCTTTTCAATGTGTAATACTGGATATATTTGATGCAAGGCTCCATTAAATGTTACATCATTCCAGTTTTGTCTATTCGTTAAGCCGTATTCACATTGACAGTGACATAGCTTTCCTCTTCTTAGAAGACCGGTTGTCTTTTCTGGTTAGAGTGACAAAATTGCCTTAGGCACTGCTCCACGTAGTAATAACAGCCTGTTTATTGGCTCTTAAGTGAGTGCGGACCCCTTTTATAACACAGATGTATAACAAGCGCTACTCTAGTGCAATTATAAACACGTAGAGATAGATGTGTCATGTTTTATTGCACTTGAATTGTTTTTCTGGATGATAGGACCCACTGCAGAGAAATTCTCATATTTCTCTACAGGCAGAAATTCTGTCTGTCTTTCCTTTCTTCACTCCTCCTTTACCTGTGCCCGATTATTCTTCTCTTAGCTTCCACCTCATCAGTCACTTTGTAGGAGAAATCTATTGATTCCTTCTTTCCTTCAAGGGTTTCTGTATCAATGAATCAAAAACAGAGAAGAGAAGTTTTATGGTGGAGGATGTCTTAGTAGTGTGATTTAGCAAACTTTTTCATTAAAAATATTTACATTTATGTTTCTTTTATAAGAATGTAAATTATGAAAAATGTATATTTTAAGTAAATTTTGTGTGATCAAGTTCACTTTGCTGTTGTGTACAGGAAATCCCTGTACACCGTAAACACTATCTGGTTGCAGGCCTGTTTTTTTGTTTTAAAGACCAAATAAGTTTCCTTTTGATTTGATTTTGTTAGATAACAACTCATTTGGTAAACTTTAGCTTCCTCCTTTAAAAAATCATAACCTTTCAAACTTTGCAAAAATACCTCAAGTGGAAAACAAATTGCAGTTCTACTTGGTTACAGGTTATTGAAATATATTTTCTTTTTAAAGACCTGACAGGTGTCGCAATGAAAAGTAAAAATGTGAAGCAAATACCTGGTGGAAAACACTTGTGTTAAACAATCAGGTGCCAAACATGTTGAATACGAATGTAATTATTCTGTTATTGTATTGATTGAAGTCTTTACTTTTAAATACTGTGGATTTCATTTTACATGTATTTAACTTACTCTTCTTGATGTTTTTGTGTGTTCTCTGTCCCGTTTAGACCAGTGCACTGTGACAAGATCCTATCTTTTCCTCCACAAGTTCTGGTTCTTCAGCACCATCTACTACTTTGGTAACTGGGCCTTTATTGGGGTAAGTCCACGGATTTAAATAAAATTTAATTTCCTTGAATTTTAGTGAGAATAACAGTAGAATGTTCTGAGTAAATTTGGGGGGCAAAAGATTGGATTTTTAAATTTTTCTGCAAAGATGAATGAAGAACAGTGAAAATAGTCATTTTTTCATGTTTTGAACCATAAAACATTCATAGCAACAACATCTATAAAACATTTAATTTAGTTCAAAAGCAGTTCAAGAGCATTTTCTTCGGGGACTAGTGTGAGAGCAGAAGCACATAATTTAATTTCTGCTCAGAAAAAGGTTACTGGAAAATGATTTTCCAAGACTGCACACAGCTAATCTCCTCAGCAAAATATTTAATAGCCTCTTTCCCGGTGCTGTTGATGCATTCTATCGATCAAATGATCCTTATGAAATATTTCCTAATGCATGCTTTGCTTATTATTTTTAGGCTTTCCTCATTGGTCTGGTGGTGTCCTGCTGCAGAGGGAAGAAGTCTGTGATTGAAGGAGAGGTGGAGGCCGATGACTCAGACTTAAGCGATGATGAATATGTGCACTGAAAATCAGTATTCATTCAGGCGGGTTTGTAGATAATCCAACCATAACTTAAAGGGACTAGAAAGTACAATTTCATAAATAAATAAATGGATGTCAGTAATTTGTCATAATTTAATTTATTGGTTTTGAGGAGTTATTGCAGTGGTGTCTTGTGGTTTCCAGCCTTGTTTTGAGTTGACACATCCCTCCACTTAATGAGACCGCTCAGACTGATTGTTGTGTCTTTCTCAGTCAATATTATTGATGACTTTGGGATTCTGGGAGCGTCCTCCAACTCAATCCTACCTTGAGAATTCACTCATCAACAGTTTGAAACTGACACAAATTGGTCATTTTTCTACTGGAGGAGACACACTTATTGCGGCAGCAGAGACAGAGTCATATGCTGCTCCAAAACTTTATGTCTATTATTTGGAGGCAGAGCTTGGACATAAACTTACTGTTTTTAAATTAAGCACTTTCTAGACCCTTTGAATGGTTCCTGTGACGGTACCCATAGTTGGCTTTAATATATATTTTAAGATAAGGATACAGTGGAGCCTACAAAAACTGCTTGCTTGTTTTCTGAAAAAGCTAATTGGTATAAAAATAATGATTCCTAAGTGTTGACAGCAGTCACGTTTTCAAAGTTTATTTAGCTTGTTTTTGTCTGAGGTTAAATATAGTGCTAGGGGGGTTTGCTGCTTTTTCCCTCTACATTTGCAGTCTCAGACAATTATTTAAAGAAACGTTACTGTACTTTCATACCTGCACTGTGTGAAATGTAAAGGATCAATTGCGGCTGACATGTTTTCGAGGTTTCAGTTATTTCGGGTTTTTAATTAAATGGGTTCAACAGCCTTTTGCTCTCTGTGTTGGAAGAATATGAGAAAAAAAAAAGTTAATCAAAGATATGGATGTAATTTTATTTTAATTAAGGAGTACTTCTCGTTTTTTTTGCCAGTGCTCTCAAGTTTATCAACAGCAGGCATGTTACATAGAACTATTAATTGCTTTTTTCAGTAGTTTGATTTATTTTCGGTGTATTTAGAAGTGTCAAAATGAGTAGCAACTGTTGATTTATTAACAGACTGACAGAAAATGTGAATATAAATGACTTTTTTTATTTGGAAACCAAATATTTGTGCCTTGTGATTGTATTGTAGCATGATGGGCACACACTACTGTATATGCTACCCTAAATTAGCCTCACAGAAATCAGCCTGTGTTTTTGTTTTGAGATATTAGTCTTCATTGAGAATCAGTGAAGGCCAGCAGCTGGAAATGTGGTTAGGTGATGGAGAGAAGTCTCATGTAGTCTCCCGTGACAATAAAATGCTGAAAATAATGCTGTTGTGGAAGTTGTGTTAATATTTAATGATACCTGTATTTAATGGAATAAAACCATTTTAAACACAGTCCCTATTGGCCCAGACTCAACTATCTTTGGCCCTTCTTTTCATACCCAGTAATCAGTGCAAAGTTAGTTCTCTCTTTTACATAGCATGATGATCAGTCAATTACATTGGACGAAGTGAATGAGTTAAATAGTTCTCAGGGTTCCCACGCATCCTGGAAAACATGGAAAACCTTGTAATTAGCAGACTAGTTTTCCAGTCAAGCAAACACTTGGAATTTGGATAAGCTATGTGGTAGGACACTTTTAAAGCAGGTTGACCAGACACGTAACGGAAAAACACTCAATATAGCTGTTCAGCAGTGTAGTTTCTCAGAAACCGTAAGCAGAATTCCCAGAGAGCCCATTGGAAATGCTATAAATGGTCATATCTGCATGCATACAGCTTATTATTGATCAAATTTGTTGGTTGTTAAGCGCATGCACAGTGATGTTGATAACGTGGAGTGTACAATAATCACAGTGAACCCTGCATCATTAAAAAAGGAGTCAATACTGGGCCTACCGGTAAGTTATTTGACCGTTTGTGAGCTAGTGCTGTCCTGTATTGTCAAGAAAAAAACTCCTGGAAGGAGTGTGTGAACCCTGAGTGTAAACCTTCTACTTTATAATGCCCAGTGTTTTAGTCAGGCCCTTTTTTTTATTAAAACCAATAAAATCCCTTGCAACACAGTATAGGGAGCATATTTTCAGAAGCTAGGAGAGTTTGAGTAAAGACTGTCAGCCATTTTTCATTACCAGCCTGTCCCTGCTATCAAATAGTCCCCCAACATCTGATCATTTCTCATACTGCTGTCTAAAAAACATATTGGCTATGTGGTTTCTATTGAGTTTTTTCCTATGAAATCTAACTCTCTAAAGTTTGTGATGAAGATTTTAAAAATAGGAATATATTTTGTGTTATATAAAGTATGTATCTTCATTAAGTTCTGACTGTAATGAGTGTTATGACCACATTGTGGTCAGAGTTTACTAAATCTATTAAGGAGCTATTAAGTACATAAACACAATTAGTAATTCTGTGAGTGAGAAAATGCATTCTGCTGTTCAAAGCTCCGGTTTGAACAAGTTTTTAAGTAATAAGGACATGTATCAAATGAAACTGACAGTTAAATACATCCGCTCATGGATTAACATATACTCAGTGCTTGCTTTGGATGGATTTGCATGAAATTTTGAGTGCATGTCCAATTAGAGTTTGTGGTATGCATACCTTGTCATAACTATTGTACAAGCCTGCTCTCAGTTAAGCCATTATGTGATATGCCACCCCCACATACACTAATAAACCAAATAAGCCTTGAGCCAAAAAAAACATGGAGCCCCACAATTTTAAAGGAGAGGATTGTGTGATCAACATGTCAGATCAGAGGATTTTTGCTGCTCGGAGTACAACTTTTTCTTGTCATACCCCCTTATTCAAAAGCCAGTCTTGCCTCTTTTTTTCCTCCCTTTCTGCCTCGCTTTTTTAGGCATCTCTTTGCAAGTTTGTTTGGGAACAATGAACGCGTTTTAATGTATAAATAAATGAATTAGCTCAAGAAAATAAAAATATTTTTGCAGGGAACTTCAGTACTTGCAAGATCTGCCTGAGGGCCGTACATAACAGATGCATTTGATTTTGACATCATTTGCATTGGCGAACAAAATCAGATTTGATCTTGGATCATAGAACTCGAGTTATTATACAAGTTCAGTTTGCTTCAGTGCTTCATATTAATTTGATTGTCTACTCTAACTGATAACATGAATGGAATTATTAATGTAAGGAGGGGACATGTTAACCTGCCCACTGCTTTGGGGCTTAAGCTTTCAGATTTCCAAATCATTTTAATCCAAGAAAGGAAGCTAGTTAAACCTCTAAGCCACTAAGAAAGCAGTGTGGTTTCAGACTTGTGACCTTAAAAAAAAGTTTTGGTCGTTACATCCAATTTGTGTCATGCCTGACCATCCTGCCAATTACCAGGGGTTCCCAAAAATGTTTATTTCAAGGACCCCACAATAGATGCACATTAGATTAGTCTCCTATTAGGAATCCCCTCTGAGTAGTTTTTTTATTTTTCTATTTTTGGGTTTGAAGATAATAAAGTCTTAATAGTCATTCAATGATCAAACTAGGACCACTATAAAGTACAGTAAATCAAAATGGTCAGCCCCATTACTTCTGTTGCTCTTTTTTGTTCCAAAAAATGTGACAGAAGTTCAGATATTATATTCCTATATTCCGCTGGGGACTACCTACAAACCAGTGATGGACCGTTGTCGGTCCCTGGACCCCAGTTTGAAAACCACTGAGTTAAACAACAGGAAATAATTCACTCCACCATAGTTTATGTGATCATCTAATATCACAACTTTGAGAAAACTAAAAAACAAAACCATAACCGGAAAAACTTCCCACTGTTTGGTTGTCTGACAGCAGATGAAAGTTCAGTTTTTGGTTGTCGTTTTTTTTTTTTTTCTGAAGCAGACTCTGTTTTCAAATAAGGCAGAGATGATTGGTGTGGAGTACTGTAGATACCAAGAGGAATTACAGAACAGTACAGGCATTGTCAGGGGCCTCTGTACCCATCATCTATCTTACTGCTTCACAGGATGAAAGACCATAATGCATTATACAGTGCATGGTAAGTACCTGCTGTGT